CTCGATTTACCAATGACTATGTAAATATGCAGGGTTATTTTAAAAGTACTGGCAACCTTGTAGGATTATAGTCATATTAAACAACTTTTTCACCTCACTAGCTCGGGAAGGCTTTCTTTGTCATTAGAAATCTGCGCGCAAAAGCGTTTTTTGCTCGCGAGCGTGGAAAAGGTTTTTGAAATTCGAGCTTGACGATGGATTGTGGTGCACCTAATTTATTCTTTTGATGAAAAAAAAAATAATGACACGTTCAACTACGCGATTTGTCGTACATTACCTATTTACGTAATATAAATCTGTTGGTATATTTTATTCTTATTATTGTTGACATTAAATTGACAATGATAACTAATTGTGTTTATTAAATTATTTTAATTTGTCGAAGAACCAAAATAATTTCAATAAGCACTTAATCACACAAAATGAAAGCACAAGCAAGAATAAAAATTGACTTCTTTCAAAATATAAATTGACCAAAAATTAATTTCCGTTACTATCTGACACTTTTTAGGACTGTATTTGGTAGAATGAAGTTGAACGTGCAAGCGTCCTCCGCGAAGACTCCCACCCTGTGCTGCATAGAGTTATTACCATTTAGATTTAGAGCGATCTATTCAAATCTATTTATTTTTGTATGAAAATAAAATAGTGGTTAGTATTTTAAAAATAACCCTGTATACATAGTAGGTATAATGAGACAAGTAGCGCACATATTCGAATAATTTCGGGGTTCATTAAAGAATTGAAGCATTCGCTTGGTGTTTAAAAATTACATTAAATAGTAGACGTGTTGATTGTTGATGGCTATTTGAACAACAATGCCTCAAATTCAGAATGGCTTAGCATTTAATTTCTATTTTATAATAATTCTCCCATAATCGAGATACTAATCCGCGATGCTGGCATGCAAATATCAATCTGTAAGTATTGCATTTTACAAAGACTATTAACTTATTAATATTGCACGAAATAAAAGTTATTACGTTATTAATGTAGCACGAGAATACTGTCATTAATACCTTATTTCTTTAAAATTATTTTTACAGCCTGTAGGTAAAACTAAAATAATGGGACAACCCTGTGTTACGAATCACACGTAGCGTTCACGGTTGCGTTATCAAACTATGGTATATAATGTAAAAAAGGTATACTTATGACAAAAAGTGGAGACTGTTCTATTTTAGAAGTTGAGTGAGATCATACGTATTATTAATTTACAATAAAAATGTCAATTACTGTACTTAGGCTCAATTTACGTCGCCGCGGAATGGAACGGAAGTGAATTTTTGTAACCATAGCATAATTAACTTTATGTCATTTGTGTAACGTTCATAGTAGAAACGAGCAAAGAAACAGTGTCGTGGGTCTCGTGGCGAATTATGTACAGTATCGGAAATTCCCGTAGCCACGCCACCACCGTATCGGATTGTATTGTACGTTATACAACTTGCATATAGTTCAATATGCTATGTACAAGTCGTTACAAAAATTCGCTTCTTGTGTTCTACTCCTGTTCTCTGTCCGAAACAATTATTGTCAAATAAGCAATACACGACCAAATCAAAAGACAATGTCAAATATGAAGTGTCCAGTTTTACTTGAAGGTCCGGAGAAAGGGAGTAGACTCCCTGATTTATCCCGAGGCAATATTTGCCTTTGTCAGGAGAGAGACAAATTAATGGAATATAAACAAAAATATAAATACGATTAATGTTAACAAAATTTTATTGAAAATAATATAGCCTACCATTGCCTTAAATTCGTTTTATTTATTTGAGAGTATATTATAGGCGTGCGAAATGTAAAGAGTAATAAGCTTAATAAGTAGGCATTTCTCTCAGTCTCTCATTTCGTTTTATAAATTCGAAATATAAACACGTTTTCATCCTTCCGCTTGCATCATTTATTTCACTTAACATTCGAAATTGTATTCGAAAATCATCCTAGCTCTAGTAGGTATTTATAAGTACTTAATTATTTAGTATATTTTAAACTGTCGCGATTATTAACACATTTGTGCTATACGGGTCATAAATAATAAAATTTAAGAAATGCATGCAAAATACGTTTCGAATTTCACGTTTCGTTGTTGCACCTGTTACGGTCCCAGCCGAAAGAAGTTACTGTCAAAAGGTAATCATCATTAGGTAATCAACTGCCTCCGTCGTTGAACGGTTACCATGCCGGACTGCCACGCAGAGGTCCCAGGTTCGATTCCCGGGCCGCGAGAAATATTTGTATAGCCTACATTTATTTCTCTCATGAGTTTGGGTGTAATGTGTGGTTGTCTATGTGTGTGTCCATCGCGCCCGCGACACAGGGTTGCCCTAGTGCGGGGCTATGTTGAGTGTGTGCGTTATTAATATTATCATCATAAATCCATTTAAACGTCCCACTGCTGGACGCGAGTTTAGAGACTTTACGCGTTTTTAGGGATGTGAACCTTCTTCGACGTGCAGTTTCATAACAATGTTTTCGTTCACTGAAAAGCTGTGCTAAATATCAAATTGAAATTCGCACATAAATTCTCAAGGGTGTGAGCCCTGATTCGAACCCACGGTCTCTGTTTGAGAGGTGATAGGTCAAGCATTGGACTACCACGTCTTCAACTTTTGTTTTACTGCAGTACATGAACAGTTATAAACTTATATATGCGTACATCATTGCCACCATGGAAGAGATATGAATGAAATCATTCACAAAATTCCTGCTACAAGTATTTAAAAGATTCGGGATTAAAAAAAAAATATTGAAGATCGATATTCTTTCCGAAACCAATATTTAAAAAAAATATGGAAAGGCGATATGGGGACGATTCCTCGTTTTGATTGAGCGTCACGATAATCGTATTAATCCCTTGCTATACTTTTGGCGTTCAAGTTAATCGTTAACGGCGTAAACATTCACTATCGATTCGTAATTTTGATCAGTCCGAAACGGCGGATTGTGTAGACAAACCCCTGTATGGATCCAATCAATTAGCCACGACCATTATGTAGCTTTAAAGGTCTCCGCTCCAGTCTGCTTGGGACTATGGCCGCCCCTGGCCGGAACGAAGAGAAGAGAGAGAGAGAAAATGTTTGCAGCTGTTAATTAAATTTTGTTACGTATGACCCAGTTTAAACGCAAAAGCACTTAATTGTCTATTACGTGAAGAGGTTTCTTACATACTGGTGTCTTACAATCACATATCGCCGTCTACAACATCAACACAGTCGTACAACACGATTGTAAAGAAGAATGCGCTTTTGCTTATGTGAACGTTGACTGACGAACTGCATGTGTGTACAGGTTAACTACACTTATTAGACAAAAATTGAAGATCAAATAATGTGAAAACAGAATTCAAATTAATTTAAAAATAGAAACAGTAATATATGTTTGTGACGTCACACCTAAATAGTGCCATACAAGCTACATGCTAATGACCGTTTTGATAAAAAGGGACTGATTATCCCTAGCCTTAGCCTTTAACAGTTAATATTATTAGCGTTAATTGAAATACAAAAAAAACTAAATTTAAATTAATTTTCAGGAGACGAATTAATTTTTAGTTGTGTTGCGGCTCCATCAACTCCACTCATGAAATCCACACTCCATCTACCTCGTCACCAGAACCAGCTCTCTGTGGAGCTAGAGAAAGGCAACAGCGCCTGTAGTTTTAAGTAGTTTAAAATGTAATATAACATAATTGGACGTAGTTAAACCAAAAGGATCCAATGCACATCCAGTCACTTTCGAGATGTGACAGTTTGAAGTTGAAAAGTGTTTCTCACTCTTGTTTTATTTTCAAAACTTATAATCTTATGTAACTCCAGAGATATTTATTTATGTTTATATGTTGGATTTTTTTGTTGATGTAAAAGGTTAGACTATGGGAACTGTTTAATACATATAACTTATTTTTTGATAATTTTGTGGATTGGATCCTTTTTGCTTAACTACGTCCAATTGTAAATGTTTGCTTTTAGTTTCCTAACAGGCACTTTTTATATGTAATTTGTGACGTGTGCCACTGCTTCATTCGTCTTTAACCTTACATTCAGTAAAGCGTACAGCTTTGGTCTTTTATTCCATATATTAGGCCCATTATGTCCCTGAAACAAGTTGTATATTAAGTTTTGAGTTTCTTAATTTATTTCTTGTCTTTTAGGGCTGATGGCTCTATGTCTAGTATTCAAAATATGTATAAATTATTAAAAAATGTTGCAGTATTCAAATTAAATAACATATTGTAATTATTGATCATAATTATCAAATTTATAAATAGCAGTGTAGGGTCGTTCTCGATATTATAAATTTACCACGTTCACAGGCCGTGCCTAGACTATCAAATGTTCTAATAGGACACTAAACATCTCCATACAAAACTATACCATGGTCATTAGACGTACTGCCTATTCGCGTAGGTGCTTCATCATTTCGTTGGAATCGAACGGAAAGCGCTACTGTCACAGTGTGTAACATTTTTACTTTTGTCCATGGTACTACTAGAGTAGTTCTATGGTCTTTGTACCTAGTACAACGTACTTATACACGTACGTATACGCAACGGCCCTGTGGACGTCTCGCGGGATTTACCGTAGTGACTTTTAGACAGGGTTCGAAGTGATAATTTATCTTGATATATGTACTTTGATAATTTTTTTTAATATTGATAAATTTTTGATATAAAATTAATTACAACAACGAAATGCTACCGTTACCAATGTGGTGCCATGTGTTACTGTCAGAGACGTGGCTAAACGTGTCAAACGTCAATCTCAATAAAGTCACAAAACTCACAAACCAAATCGTTTTCCCAAAGATTTTTTTCGTGTTTATTTACTATTGTCACTGTTTGTCATTTTTATACAATAATGAGATAAAATTATAAATCAGCATGGACAATTATCAAAGAAAATAAATATTGATAATTTCGAACCCTGCTTATAAATGATGTCAATTTCATATTATAGGGTTCATAGTTTACGATTATAGCAGTTACCGAGCGTTATACAATAAGAAACAGTAAGAAGTAGAAGTAAGAAGTAGTACGCAGAATAGAATATCACTAAGTGCTAAGTACTCCATCGTCCTCTGTAGCTGAGTCGTAGATGTGATACGTTTGAGTTATTATTAATTAGTATTTTTCGTTCTTTTTCGAGTTAGATATTGTGGAATAAGGTAATTTTTTGCAACTTCTTTCATTCTCGATGACATTTCAGTGTCCAAATGAAACTTATTAGCAGTTGTGTAAAACAAGGGAAAATTACGGCATTTATAAACTTGGCGCCGAATGAAGGCCCGAGGACTTTCAGAGTGGATGGAGTCACGAAGGCTGGTAGTTTCCAACGAAGGCTTTACAGGCTGGGCAGTAGTGGTTTGCTGTCTTACAGGACCTCATGCAGTAGGGTACAAAACAACCGCAGCAGCAACTGAAAAAGGTGACCAAGTTATTATTTATTTAGGCTTGGAATCATTCCATAATACATCGCTGCCTTTATACAATAACGCGGTATTTCAGAATAATACGAAAAAGTTTCGTTTGCTATGCTTGTCGCTGTAGATTTACGTCAAAATCATAGTATTATGCAATTCTGCGTTATTTTTAATCGATTTTAAAAAAAGGAAGTGGTTCTCAATTCGACTGTTTTTCTTTTCTTTTTGTATGTATGTTACGCGATAATTCCGGCTATCCGGATAATTTGTGAACCAATTTTGATGATTCTGGTTTTGTTGGAAAGAGGATACTTGTTAAGTAGTGGTCCCATTTTAATTTCAAGAAAATATTCCACCTGTAAGGGTGGCAAACTTTGTATACTTTCTGGTAACCGATTTAGTAAAACTTGTCAAATTTATGTAATTCCACAAAATGTTCGAGTCGGTTTTTTAGTAGATACTCTGTGCTCAGAAAATGTAAAGGCAGCGATGTATTGTCATCACTTAAAATAAAAAATTGCAGTTTAATAGAAAAAAAAAACAAAATTAAACAATAACAGCATTACAGTTAGTTCGTACATAGTATAGAACTTGATTATCGGAATACGCTTGTTCCAGTGCGCAGTGTGGACAGAAAAACACCTTTAAAACTTTAAAACGGCGTAACGATAAAATCTTGTTTTTTACGACTAGCACCGATAAAATCACGACTTTTTTCTGTTTGTAGTTCTCAAGATTAGGGAATGGTGCAACTGGAATAAGCTTATTACAACGTGAACAGTAAAACATTCTTATAACTTTTAGGGAATCACAACACTCATCGACACTGACTCGCATGAAGCCGGCCACAAAAATCTTTATGTCCATGTAATAAAAGGTTTTCTGACGTAGCCGCATATACATTTGTCTGACGTGTCGTGTCGTGGCGCGTCAGAACCGTATCGGTTTCATACACACAACACAAGCCGTCACGTCAGATTGCGACGCACTAAGAAAAATCTAACCATTTAAATTGTATGAAACCGATACCGTTTTGACGTGTTTACCTTGTATGAGTATAGATTTTTGAAATAACATTTAATTATCACTATTATTAGCCTAGAAGGCATTTCAAAACAAACACTGATAGAGAGACAGATTTACAATAGCCGATAATGCCACTTGGTAGCAAAATGGTATATTTGCACCGAGAACTTTTTATTGAATCCAGAGCAACGCGAAAGATTGTAGATTAGAATCCTAACTGTACCGAAGATTACAAAAGTATAATCCTAAGCGTAGCGTGGGATTCAATCTGAGTTGCTCTCGATGAAAATATTTTATTCGTCAAATGTTTTATAGTTTCTTTACGTCGGGCTCGGTTTTCTGTGGAGATTAGTGTAGCTTTTTGTTCTATAGGAAATAACGACAAATATTTATACACAATAATTTACAATAAAGAAGCGCCCTCATCGTAATTAAACTTTACTCCTTTATGATATTTAGTATTAGTCTCATTTAGCTGTACTTTGTCAGGCGTTATCTTTATCGGAGTTTCAAAACAAACATCATAACAAAAAAAAACGATTCTTTATCTTTTCTATAGACGTAATACTACCTGTATACGTGTTGAATCTATCTGTGTGTGCACAAAACCTTGCATCACATGTCTCCTATTACGATAATAACATTTGATAATAAGTTTTCATAGTCGTTTTATTGCCTCTCCTTCATTAAAACTCACAATAATGGCACAATTTTTGTTATGATTGTCAAATAACATACTTGCACAAATTTATAGTGATAGTGGATTGTTGAACTGGATTTTATAGATGGGTAAACATATCAACGAAACATACACAATGCACGTATAGGACATTACGTCACTAAAAAAATAATTACAGGATGTAAACTCACCCAGCGAGAACACAAAGAGCAGCAGAGACAATATGCGTTCTATTGTTGGGCACGTAGTCAACTCTGGTCACAATCGATTTATTACACGTGGGGCAAGTCGTTCCTGTCGGTCCTGGGCCCAGTTTCACCGGCCTGGGGTTAGTGGGTTGGTTGGTAATCACTGTGGTTCGTGGTGGTGCCACTGGAGCAACGAAGCCAGCTGGTGGGGGTGGGTTATCACCGAAGTACGATGGTGGTGGTACGGGAGCAGGCGCTGTGGGCTCGTACGGTGGAGGTAGACCCATTTTGTTTTCCACTGTAAAGTACAGAAAATAATTTGAAAAACTAAAAAATGTACCAGAACAAAAACGGCAGAGCAGCCCTATCTCCACGAGTTTTACCAATTTGAATAGAATTATAGATCTAATCAATATAATAATATACAAAGTATTGACTATTCATTTTGTATGGGAACCTAGTACTGTATACAATAGACTTTATTTTGACTTTTCTTTGTACTAAACATGTTATCGTAGTTCGAATTCATCGCATAGTAAAACTGCGCAGCATCTTTAGCAACCTGTTGAGTAAGGTCACGGTTATTTGGCAAATTTAATCTTGCTAGTCGACTTCAGGGTTAGTAGAAGAGTTTGAGTTCAAGTATAGACACGAAACATGCCAAAATTATACTATTGTTATTTTACAAAATTGAGAACTTAATATACTTATAAAGCCATTGTAAGAAATTGGGATTTTTGGTATTTTCCTTTGGAATTTGGATTGTTCTTATCATGTGACGGAGTTGAAAGTGTCCCAAGCGCCCAGTTACACGCGTTATAGTTACCAGGCATTTATGTACATTAATGGCGAATCTGAATTCTATTTACTAGACTAGAACATTTAAATTCCTCAGCATAGTAAAAATGTGAGACTCGCCCGCGTACCCGGGTTGCTCATTTAAAGTTAAAACGTAAATGCTAAACAAAGAGCGTATTTTGCTATGACAGTTAGATGCACGCGGTCGCCGCGCGGCACCACCGCGCTCACCGTTCGGCGACCGCGCGGGGCGAGTGCAATGAAATTCGTGTCGAATAAATGTGCCCTTAAACCTGGTTAATACTGTTAATTGTACCGAATTATCTTTAGTATGTTTCAAAAGCAGTGGTAGTCTCGTTAATAGTTTGACTTACCGCTTCTCAAGCCAAGGTCGTCGGTTCGATCAGGCCTAGCACCTCAGAGTTTCTCGAAATTTATGTGCGAATTTTAATTTGATATTTGATGAGCTTTTCGGTGAAGGAACACATTGTGATGAAACCTGCGCGTCGTAGAAAGTTAACAGCCCTCGGAAAACGTGTGAAGTCCCTAACCCGCATTCTGCCAGCGCCGCGGACTATGGCTTAAATCCTCGGAGAAGAGACCCGCGCCTAGCAGTAGGACGTATAAATTGGGTTGATGATGATAATGTCAAAAGTTGGTACTTTATATCGTGATTAAAAGAAATAATGTTATTGTGGTCTTATTTTCGCAAACTACCTCTTCATTTAGGTCATTACCTATATCACGAGTTGATAACCGCGTTGACCATAAATAAATATTTATAAATTATTATAAATATTTCACGACGAACAGAAGAGCAGTAGAAGCAGTAGAGCTCCTAGTGAAAGAGTAGGGAAGTACTGCCACTTACCTATTTCTCCGTCCAAGCAGTAATGTGGGCATTACTGCGTTCCGGTTTTGAAGGGTAATAGGTAAGGGTGCTAGTGAAGTTACAGGCACATGGGACTTGGTTGGTCACTTGGTATCATAAAAAAAAATATTACCAACACAATTGCAAATTTTCTCACACGCAATGTTTTCTTTCACTGGTCATAACATTGCTCGAAAACCTGCAGCGGAGTTTCTCAATAAACCGTTTTACTACAAATTTTGTTTAGTCAAATAATTAAGAACTGAGTACAACCTGACGAAGCAATATCGAATTCGCAGCATTCAGTGCGTGACGTGTAAAAGGTTTTATGAGAATGCCAGTAATAAAACAAGTACGGCTAAAGAATTACGAGTTCCGTGATGTTTATGTAAGTTTTAATAGGTATTATTTATGAGACATGAAATGTTTTTAATATAACGCTTTTTCTTCCAACAATATGGTTTAAAATAGGATCAACAGGTGTGTACAAATAGTATCCTTGATGTTATAACATAGCGCAACAGTACTTCGAACAAACTCCTTGTGAAAGAGTTATTTTTTTATAATATCAAGTGACGGGATCCGCTATCATCCCGAGACATAAGTTGACAAGTCCCATGTGCCTATAATTTCACCAGCACTCCTTTTCCTTCAAAACTGGAACGTAGTAACGCTCACATTACTGCTTGGCGGCAGAAATAGGCACGACTTAGAATAGGCAGTACTTGCCTGGACGACCTATTTCACAAGCTCTACAGCTACTAAAGCTCGTCCAGTGAAGTACTGCTACCAGTAATGTTAGGATTACTCCGTTCCGGCTTTGAAGAGCAAGGGTGGTGGTGAAATCTCAGGTGCATGGAACTTGTCAACTTTATGTCTCAGGGTGACGGGCGCAGTGGCAGTGTCCCTCAGGTTTCTGCAATTTAAAGCACTGAATAGCACTGCAACTTTTATGTTTGTGTCGCTTACCTTGAAATAAAGAAAAATAAGACCACAAATGCAAAATGACAACTTTTCAGGCCAGAGGTTTAAAGATTATACGAACAAAGTTAATTGATAACTTTTTTGTGCTCATCAATAATTTGTTTCATGTCATTTTTAAGTTTATTGAATGTCAAAATGTTTTACTACCATGATATTCAATTTTTTTTGTGAAATTACTCCGCTAGTTTGTTATAATTATTAGGGTACAACCGGGATAGATGCCTCGTTTTCAAAAAACCAAACTTCCCCAAATGGCAACAAAGAATAGTTAGTTTAAATAAAAAGTATAGACACGACTCATCAAAGTTCCTGCAGGGCTTCGTGTGGAATAGATGCATTTCGCTTGTGCACGCGTTTATCTCCGCGACGAACACGACAACGGTTCAAAATTTCAGACGCAAATATTTACTGTCGCATAACTTTGTAAGTTATAATAAATTCCATTTTATTTTTATTATAACTATACACTGGTTCATTAACTGCGCACCTAGGTGTCAATAATCGCTCTTTTGTCTATAGCTTAGTTGAATAATAAAAGTGCATCTAATGTCGAACAGGATAATCGCCTCCATTTTTCGCGGTATCGCGGCAAAGGACATGACAAGAAAGTTAAGAAAAGCAAATTAAAAATACATTATTTTAGTGAAAAGATAAGTAAATGTTAATAGCTTAAAAGTAAGTAAAAGTATCAAAAAGACAAATTATTCACAGTTCAAACAGGGAACATTTTTGTATAGAATGTTTTGATAGCTACATATAAATATAAAAATACGAAGTGATGCACGTAGTAACTTTAAATACGTCTATATTTATTATTAAAGATGTAATACGTATATACAATACATTAAAGATTACGAATAAAACATTTTATTATGAATTTTACTACTTTATTCTGAAGGGCATCTTTCTTAGTATTTTCATCGTGTGATGGTGTGGCGTCTATCCATATAGGTAGGCATCTATCCTCAAAAAAATAGGTTTGCAAAGAGTCAATTTCTTGAAAATCAGTAAATGTTAGATTAATAAAATCAAGTCTAAGGGTCGTATTCCAGAATTCTACTCAATACTCAAGTCAGGACTTGAGTATTGCAGTGAGCACTGAAAATCATACTCAAGTCCTTGCCATTAGGGTCGTATTTCCAGTGCTTGAAATCATACTCAAGTCTGCTCAAATCCTGAATTGAGCATTGAGTAGAGTTCTAGAATACGTAATTAATGTAATGTAAAAGATTAAACTAGTTATATCCGTAGGAATTATTCATGTTAAACTAATAATTTTTAAATTCTAGGGTTGGCGGACTAAAGCACATAAGTCAAAATCCAACATCATTCATTTAAATTAATACATCTACTGGCTAAAGCACATAAGTCAAATTCATTTGTTACTTCATAAATTTCGAACTTTATTCTAGAGGTTATTTAACTTACAACACTAAAAACAACACAAAAAGATATATAATTATATATTAACAAATGAAGCACTTTTTTGACTTATGTGCTTTAGTCTGCCGACCCTAGAATTAGGAGGCCCTTTCAAAAAGTGGGGCATCTAACCCGGTTTTATCCTATAACAAAGATCGAAACACTAAGAAAAAATCATTCGATCCGGTTGGATTCGAGCCAGCGGCTCAGGCAATCGTGTCAGATGCTCTGCCAATTAAGCCAGGGAACGAAACAGCAGACCTAACGAATTTTTCAATGTGGTTGTAGCACATCTTTGTTTTTGGTTTTTAAGTATTTTTTGCCATAGCGACATCTGTGAGAAATTTATTTCTTCACTCAGAGAGGTACCTTTACAGCTAGCTATCATTGCTGTTTAGAGATGCGACTTTAATAATTGTAATTTTTAAGTTATTTTTTTTATAATGTCGAGTAACGGGATGAACTAGTCATGCGCCTGATGGTAAGCTACACGCCTGCCCATAACATTTGCAGTGCCACTTTGAGCTTTAAATCGCAAATATCTGAGGGGCACTGCCAATGCGCACGTCACCCTGAGACATATGTAGACAAGTTCCATGTGCCTGCAGTTTCACCAGCACCCTTACAAAATTTGTGTATGTTACAATGTTTTACTACTATGATATTCAATTATTTTCTTTTTTGATTATTTTTAAATTGTTTTCTGTGAAATTACTCCACCGGTTTGTTATAATTATTATAACAAAGATTGAAACATTAATGTAGCGAATCGCAGCAGTCGCTACAAATCTCTTTTGTATGTATTTTATAATAGTCTCTTTAAGTTTTAGTTTTATATTTAAATTCTAAATTTAAATGTGATTGTTTTTGGCGCCTTTTCTCCACTATTGTTTTCTGTTTTGTTTTGATAGCTGTACGTGTTTATAATAAATTAATAAACTGTAATTACATTTACTTGGCCGTGCTCACTCGTGCCTACAGCTCCGGTACCTATCTGGGAAATAGGGAGGGTACTGTACGTGCACTTGGGGCGGCTCACCCAATGCACTGGCCTCTCGAAGAACCGGACGAAATCAAGTGACAGAGGTCTATGACAACCCTGTACACTTGCTGATCTGGGGTCAGAACCTGAACTTGTAAGGTTCCTGTGCGCGCACAGGTCATGCGTGCCCTTTCCGCATAACCAAGAGGTTGATAGGGAGGGGCACTATAAACAAAATTTATGTAGAATGGTATGGAACTGGCCGTGCTCACTCGTTGTTAGCATCCACCCGAACCCATTGATACAGTCCGCTATGACTAAGAAAAATTCATTCGATCCGTGTGTACTTGTGTGTGTTGTTCATGTATTTCGTAATATTTTTAATAACTTTGACATGATAAAGGCACTTTCTGACTGTGATCACAAGGATAGGAAATCGTCATAGTCAACCCACTAAATATATTGCTGTTGAGTATGTACTAGTCCCTTCTGAGACGGGGTCATAGTACGCAACGCTGACCCAATGGGGAATGGGGACTTCAAACGTTTCGTACGTGATATTTTCTTTCACCGTTAGCAAGAGGTACCTATTGCTACTAAATATTCACAAACGTACGTAAGTACATAGTTTTCGCACGACGAGTTACGCTTCCGCATTTATATGGCGAACAGAGTTATGGAGTGGAATTCTCTTCCTGTAAACTCACTCCCTGAACTGGTCTATTCAAGACGAGAGTATTATCTAGGTGTGCAGGCTCAATCTTCATCTCTCTCTTCTCCATTTCCATCATACGCGCACTTATTTTTGCCGCCTTTGCAATTGACAAAATTTTCCTACTAGTTTATCATAAATTATAGTTCAGTTCAGAAAATAAAATCAAGAACAACTATTTTAGAATTATTTCAGTTTCGCGAGTTTAAAAAAATAACCCAGTATTAAGATCTATTCCTTACTTATTTCTGCCGCCAAGCAGTAATGTTAGCATTACTGTATTCCGGTTTTGAAGGGTGAAATTACAGGCACGTGGGACTTATGTCTCAGGGTGACGGGCGCAGTGGCAGTCCTCCTCAGATCTTTGCGTTTTGAAGCTCTGAGTGACACTGCAACTGTTATAGACAAGCGTGTAGCTTACCATCAGGCGCACGACTTGTTCGTCCCGTCACTTGGCAATATAAAAAAAATCTATAGCAAGACACAGAAAAATTTCGTGAACCAGCTAACTTGACCTGTAGCTCATTTGGTAAGAGAGGCGCTACGGTACAGCGTGGTCATAGGTTCAAGACCTATCGGGTTGAAGATATTTTTCTTTGTGTTATTAATAATTAATTATTTGAGAATTCAAACATTAAAGGACCCTAGAAATCATGAAAAGTCGTAATTTCTCGTACTCGAAACCGAAGTAGACCCGTGTTTCCTCGGTTACCAAGTCATGGCAAATTCAGCCACAAGTCAACGTTATACGAACGTCAGTTTCTTTAACCTACTTCAAAAAAAGGAAGAACTTCTCAATTCGTATATTTTTTTTAATAACTTGTCAACCGATTTTGATGATTCTTTTTTGTTGGAAAGAGGGTACCATAGTAGTGGTCTCATTTAAAATTCAAGATAATATTCCACCTTTGAGGGCGCCATACTAGGGTATGAATCCGGATCCGCGCACTTTCCGGCAACCGATTTCAATAAAACTTGGCGAATAGATGTAATTCCACGAACTTTTGAAGTCGGCTTTTTAGTACTCTGTACGGAGATTATTAAACTAAAAGGTAGAATTTGTGACACAGAATGACAGATTTATTTCGCCTCATCCGAAGAACAGAGTCCGATGTGATTATATAGCGAAAAGAGAATAGGTACGTCACGAGAACAATTTCGTTAATGAAACTAAGGCCTATGTAAAGGTGTTTTGAGAATTTATATATCTTATTTCGTTTCGGAAATATAAAATCGAACAAACGTCGATCTGACATCCCCAGCGAAGAAGAACGAACGAAATGTACTATGTCCTGAGAACAAGTAGTCTTGCACATAGACCTTTGTTCTACGGATGAGTCGAATAATTTACATTTAAATAAATACCATGTCAATCATCTTTCTGTTTAAAGTTTGCTATAAATAAATGTAACAAGTTGATGAATAATGGACAAGTTTTTTTATATTGCAAAATGTAAGAACGTAATGCCTATACATAATGCAATAATATTGTACAATTTGGGTCAAAATTACCTTGAATGACTACTACCATTGTTAAATAAATATACAAAGATCGGTATATATATCTCTAAACTCGTTATAATATACAGCTATAATGTAGGTACAATTATTTACTGATTACAATAATGAACTTTGTTCTCATCTGATGACGTAGTAACTCACTTGGTTTGTACGTGGATTTCGATAAAGACAAACTTTGAATATAAATAATATAATATAAATAACGCACACATTCAACATAGCCCCGCACTAGGGAAACCCTGTGTCGCGGGTGCCATGGACACACACATAGACAACCACAAATTACACCCAAACTCACGAGAGAAATAATTGTAGGCCATACAACTATTTCTCCCGGTCCGGGAATCGAACCTGGGACCTCTGCGTGGCAGTCCGGCATGGTAACCGTTCGGCCACTGAGGCAGTATAATATAGGCAGTGTAATATGTAAATATGCAAGTTACAACTTTTATTAATGAAAGTAAACTAACATATTTACATATTATTCAAGTAAGTAAAGTTTATATAATTGACAAAAACAATTTTACACTGTCATACGTCACTCTAATAACAAACTATCACTTTTTGTATTGTAAATTTGAAAGTTATTTAAATAAAAAGGGTAAATTTTTTACACAATTTTTTAACAAAGATTTCGACGTTTGTATAACTAGCCGTGGCCTGCTGCCGTACTTAAACATTCTTTGCTTATAAACTACGAGTAATGCCGGTATTATTTCCAAACTATGAATTGTGTCACAAACATGTTAAACATAATTGTTAATATGATACCGTATTTAGTAATTCATTGAAATAGACCAACCGTTTATAAATGTTTTAACCTCTTGACTTAACTGTGACATCAAGATGATGAAATATTGGTTTATTTTAAAATTAACCGCATGATGACATCTGCAAGTCGGTTATGATTTTATTAAAAAGAAGGATGGTGTGTTCCAAATCTTTTTTTAGAAATCTTGGAATATATTATTCATATTAGTGATGTTTATAGGTGGTACAACATATCAATATACATAGGTAAAGTATTTAGATACGTTTAGAAAATATTACGCGCTCTAATGTTACCAAGTGCATTTCCTTATGAGGACCTGTGCTCGGGAATGGGACGTTTATACGTCTCATTAATCAACTGATATGTATTTATACAATATGAATGCTTTATATTTGTTTAATAGGGTGGAAGTGTACAAAAAGGTTTTTATAAATTAAAAGAACACGTCAATATTTTCTCTTCTACATTTTACCTTGATTTTGAGTCGTAAGTTTTGCAAAAACGTCCAATTTGAGTCTCTAAATTAACTGCCAACATAAAAAAAACATATTGCTTAAGTTTGATTCTATAATAACACTTATAGAGCTATGGAATAGATTGATAATGGAAAATATTTAAATACAACAATTTAATTTAGTTTAAACCTAAACCAGTTTACTTACTTGTTGCGTCCATTGTGATGAAACACGACCTTCGATCGTATTTTTTAATCCCAGTTGAAACTACACGAACACTGCGCAACTAATTACACAATTTCATTAATAGAAGAAAAACTTATTGTTTCACTGGATATGTTTAATAACTAAAGACAAACGGTAAATTAAAATTCTTTTTAAGTTTATTATAAGCATTCACGTTGTAATGTTACCGTGTTAAAGCTGTGAGTGAATAAGTGAATGCACTCGGTCATTTGTAGCGTTACATCACGTTGGAGCGAGAGAGCGAGAGTAACTTGCGCTCGCGCAGTTTACTAGACAAAGACGCTACATTTTTGACGTCACTGCAACCTTATAAAGACATTAACTTACCGGGATTGCGAGCACGTAGGCAAAAATCTTTATAAAATTTAGGAGGTTTTGGTAAGTGTGTCGGTACTATCGATGCTTGAAGATGGTATCTGGTTGATGGGTTGCTTTTTTTAGAAAAGTAGTACGTAATCAAATATAATAGCGTATTTTAAGAAATTTACCTATTTGTTGTAATTGTAATTCAAGATTATTGTTTTATAATAATGACTAAACCTTTTGCCTGAGAGATTATTAGATTAGTAGCAGTAGAGCCCGTTGCTTTCACAACTTAGTCCAGGAGAGTACTGCCACGTGAGCATTAGGGCGCGTTTAAAGTGTCGGGGCTGTATATTTAAATGAAGTTGTTCACATAGTATAATACAACACGATTAACTGTCGTTCACGACTTTTTGTCGTTATGACTATAGACTATCGTGATAATGAGGAGTTAGAACGACAGTCGTCGGACGATAAATGTTCATCTAACCGATATTTGGGATTTTGTAATACTGTATGTCTTTGCGATTTAAAGCAAGAGTGACACTGCAACAGCTATGGAAGGCGAAGACTAAATTTAAAAAATATATTTTTAATACACATCAAGTTTGACTCTTTGGATTGTCCCTATCGCAATTGAATTTGTCTAGATTGACATGCTCTTGTGCCTGCACCGATAGCGATTAAACAGTTTTTTTATACAGTTATGTGTGTTTTATACAATTGTAAATCTGTGCAAAACTCAAGCAAGTCCTAGGTTTTTATGTAACGTAAAGGCATTCGCTTGCAGCTTGATAACAATGGTAATTAGCTGTGCGTAGTGCTATTGTCATTTCAATCTCAATCATTAGCAATCATTCAACGTCCGTAACAGTAGCAGAGAGAGAATGGGTTTTAGGCCATTACAGTTATGGTAACTGTAATGGCTGAATGTATAAGGTCGACGATTGGTGAAATTTGACCAAAAAGTAACTTATTTAACTTAGCCTTGAAGATGTCGGCGTTACTTCACACATCGTCAAAGAGGTTTCACCACGTTTATAGTAATTAAGCGTGGCGTGTGTCACAAAATATTCTATAGTGAATATTTTGTGATACACGCCACGCGGTAGTATGTCGTAAACAGGACTTGCATAGGGTTGTATTTATGATTTGATAAAAAGAAGCGAGATCCCCATGGAATATTCTGTGGTCCCTACAATTCTTTTGCATGATGGTAAAGTACATACCGACTGTTAACTGGCAACCGGTACTATCTCAATTTTACAGAATGAAGAAAAAAATTGTTTGCGTCATTTATATAGCATCTGGTTAGAAGTGTACAAGTTGAATGATGGCACCAAAATTAAATATATCTGAGATGGAATTTCTTGCAACGCTGCGAAGAATGAAACAGTATAAAATAGTATTAAAAAGTGAAATCTTTAGAAAATTTTGATAGTACCGGTTGCCAGTCCACAGTAGATATGTCTTTCAGTCATACTATGTATAAGGTAGGAACTTGACAGTCTCCACAAAATACAAATTCATTTATCTCATCTTGTCAGATCTCAACTTGATCGGTTTATTTATTTATTTAAACCTTATTCTCCATTATTAAAAAAAAACCTCATTCTCAACTCTTGTCGTGGCCACATGCTTCTCATACAGGTTACGAATGATCCTGACATCCCTACCATCAAGACCAATGTCACATAAAAGGCCCAAAAGATGTCGATATTATCAATTAAATACATGAAAATATGGGAATATTTTTTTATGACGCAGGAGGTATTTGAACCCACGACCTGAAATAAACCATGTCCACGCTCTAACCAATTCATCGTCATCTGTGTGACGTCCGCGTGATTGTTCGCCGTGGGTTCAAATCCTTCCTGCGGTTTAAAAATGTTTTCTCCATATTTTCATGTATTTTCGAAATTGGTTATTGTCTGGATGTTGTGGGTAGTTCCCCAGAGTGAATACCGTTGCATTGGTACTCATATTACTACTTTGAATTTCTAGTTTGAGACAAGATAAATGCGGTTGTCTGACAACAGAAAACCCAGACCCAAACCAATTTTTTGTAACAGTAGAGCTCGTTGTGGATGAGTTCGTTCAGGGAGGTACAGCCATCTCACCTATTTCTGTCTGTGAGTTCGATGATGAAGGGTGCTGGTGAAACTCCAAGCAAACGAGACTTTTCAACTTTATGACTCAAGGTGACGGGCGCAGGAGCAGTGCTCAAAGTGGCATTGCAATTGTTATGGGTGGCCGTGTCGCTTATCATCAGAAACATGACTTGTTCGTCCCGTAATTTTTATTATAATAAAAAAAATTTGAAAAATTAATTTCCCAATTGGTCCTACCGGGAACCGAACCCGAGTTTGATAATTTATTAACAATCACCTGATTGTGAAATAACAATATAAAACTGATAAAATAAATACGTTTTGTAAGTACGTTACTATCATTATTATTATTATATTATAAGCCTATACTGTCCCCCTCCTTCCACACTTCTCTGTTTCACGCCACTGAGATTCATTCATTTAGGCGTGCGTCTAGCTCGTCTCTCCATCGACGCTTTGGTCTGCCGCGAAGTCGTTTCCTGTCTTTGGGGATCCGTACCGTGGTAGACTTCGTTAGTTTATCCGCTTGCTGACCCAGATCGGCTTTAGTACAAAATTATAAAATAAGTTGTAGTTGTTCATCTAACAGATATTTGGGATTTTGTAATACTCTATGTGAGTAACGAGCTTTGCCGAATAAAACCGAGAAATGCTAAAGTCACGTGTTATGCCCATTTCAGTAAATTCAAATTTCAAAACGCTACCCTGTAAACTTGTCAATTTCGACATATGTACGATACTTTACGTAGGAGGGGTCGAAATAATAGTATATTATATTGTATGTACTAATTTTAATTTTACTATTTTTTATTTTAGATGACAAAGCGTCGAGCGGGGAAGGAGGAATTAAAACCGATACAAGACATTTGCGAAAACCGATACAAGGCATTACTTAAAAAACAGCAGTTTAGTCTTAGGATGTGATTTGTTGAAAATTATTATGTCACAAGTTATTGCAGAAAATTTCTTAATATTGTATGCACCTGTTTGGTCAGAAGTGCCAATAAAACCAGAACAATTGGATATTTTGTTTTTCAGATAGAGACTGATTTGATTTCATTGTAATTGTGTACAAAGTGCAGTTTTTGCATTTTAATTTTAATTGCATTTTAAATGTAGCAGAGTAGAGAAAGTAGTTTTATTCATATTTGAAACAAAATATACGCCATATATCTAAAAACTACATTAGACACATCAATAAAATGGACCAACATATTTGACTCCAAGTTAGTTACAGCAAAATCAGTTCTTGAAAGTTATGTGGTATTTTGTTGCGCCATATGTTACAATTTCGATATACAGCAAAATTGCTGCTTGGTTTTGAAAACGCAATTGCTGTAACTAGTATAAAACCCATGTTAAACAAATTTTAGAATAATTTCGTCAATGCTGTATGACGGCTGTTCCGTTTATATACATCATACTTTAAAGTTGACCTTCTACCAATTCAAATTAAATGACGTTTTGAAATAGTTTTTCGGCCCTGGTGTAACTATTTTTCGAGATACGACAAGATCGCTTTCCGGCGTCGATATGTATGTATATAATTTTAAGAAACACGGCCATTATAGACTTTCAATAAATCAACAAGCAAGCAATAATTGAATTTAGTGATAATAATTTAAAGATAATTTACAAAAAATTACAACGATTACAAACAGAGATTTGAGCACTGTGGGATATCCGCGCAGGGTTCATGTGCCCATTCTTTATATGATCCACACGGAATCCAGTCGTTTTCGTAGTCTTCGCAACAAACAACACAGTAGTACCTACTTCTCTAGCTGTTTTTCAACCGGTTTTATTTTTGTTTTCTTTATTTTTCATGTCTTTCGTCTTTTTAAATTTGTGATTACCTTCTTTTATTTTATTTTCATTTATTTTTCTTCTAAACGTTTGTATGGCGAATCTGTCAAAAATTCACATTTTTCAACTCGACGTTTCCTTGTTCGTTGTCTTATTTTTTCCATTCTCTAAGGTTCTCTGTAGCAGCATTTGGTAGTAGAGCAAATTATATAGCATAGAACATTTTGTCAGAATAAGACTGTCTCCCTACTAGGGAACTTGTATGGGTAAAAATATACTTGTCCGGTACTGGGGAATCAGATATTGTCCGAACGTAGGGACACACCATATTTATGTAAAATTTCGATTACAATAACGTTTATTTAATATATTTGCCGCAAAAGTATTTCAATGTAAAATGTACCTACTTACCAATGATTAAAGAAAAAGCAATACACGCAATGTATTCTCTCGAAATAGTAATTTATGATATTGCAAATATTAGTCGATGCAACCGATTCCCGCGCGAAATGTGTAACATGTCATCTGTAAATCGTATCGAGTGAGGCTAAGGCATACCACGCCGCGGGGGGTTTCTTTCCGGTAAGTTTAACGTCTTTCCATAAACGAGAGCGAATGAAAGCATTTTTTCATGTTTGGACGTGATCGATGCCGGTATTATGTGCTGTCCGGGGCTAGGGGGTTCCTCCTACCTCAGTGTTGGTCCAATTTAAATTTAAAGAAAATATTCTACCTCTAAGAGTGGCAAACTATGGGATGAATCCGGTTTCGCGCACGTTCCGGTAACCAATTTCAACAAAACTTGGCAAATTGATGTGATTCCACGAAATTTTGAGGTTTTTTGAACGTCTTTTCTATAAAAAAGTTATAATTATAACATTTATTTACATCCGGTTACAATATACAATTTGGTTTTCTATACAATGCCTAATACATCTTCGTTATAATATAGAAAAATTCCTAGTGCACAAAGCAATGTGATAAAAGGAAGAGCTTGTGTGGTGAGATGAATATTTTATGCACGTGTGTCATAATAATTAATTTTGAGTCAAAAATAAGTAAGTAGATAGTTAGAAGTTGTTTAAAGTACCGACTTAAATATTTAGAATTTTGTTAAAAAAATCCAGTCCATAATACTTAATTCTTGTATGTTTTCGACCCTAACAAATTAGGTTCTTGCTTTTTCATATACTAACCTAACCTAAACCCATAGGAGGGGTCAAACCAACTCGGAAACGCAAACAAAAATGACTGTTTTAAGTATTTCGTGCAAATCTACGGCTGGTATTCTATACAATACCTAGACTTTAAATATAATGTCTAGGTAATGTGTATAACAATAAAAAAAATATTAATTATTTTTTTATACACGCCTAAAGGAACCCGGTGTTGTATAGAACGACGAGGCATTCTATATAATCACTGAATTATGCACATTGCCGTTAGCATGTTATACAATTTAAAATATCAATTATTTTATACATTTGCCTAAACGAACCCGCTATTGTATATATAATGACTAGGTATTCTACATAATCACTAAATTATATACATTACCGTGAATACATACACTATAGCCAGAAAAACTTAAAAAAACGTAACGGGTCACTATTAGGGATTTTTCTCCTCCGTAAAGGCAGAAGTTGTATGACCTTTAGTATACACTTCTTGTTTTATTATAGTTTTAAATCTTGTAAATAGCAAATTTTGAATATTAACGGGAATCTTATAAGGCATATTGTGTGACTTTTTGAAGACGAATGTCAAGAACAGCCCCGTAGCATGGCTACGCATGGTGGTCGCGACGTACCGTAAACGTAAATGTGACGCACAGTAAAATTGGAATAAGCGCGCGCTATTGGCTATCTTAATCAGATCTAATTTAGATAGCCAATAGCGCGTGCTTATTTCAATTTTATCGCGCCCGTCGCGATTATCATGCGTAGCCATGCTACGGGGGCTACTATTGTTTATTATATCCCTCGTAAATTAACTATTTAAATCCGGTTGTTGCCCCGATTTATATTTTAACCGTAGATGATAACTGTGAATAAATATCTATTTACAAAGAGTAGGTAAACAGTGGAGTTAGAAACTCTTACTTACTTACTTTGTTCTTGTTAGGGAATATTAACGTTAACGAATGAGTACTGATGTTGAAACAATTTACTTATTTGAGTACAATTTGCTGACGCATGATACAAAGAAATATCTTTCTTATAAGAATTTAAAATTTTCTAAATAGCTGTTTTTAATCGCGTATCTTGGAAGATACCATGAAAATATTTCAACGTATTTCAATTAAGTATTATTTAGGGCTGCCGTCGCGAAGTTTGTCGTCAAGTGCGAGCAAAGTATTGTAAGTAAGTAGGAAATGGCTCGTAAATCTTTTATGGACTCTGCAGTTAATTAAAGGCGCGCTTGCTGCATTCCTGATATCATATTAGAGGGCCACCCAGGCGACTTGAGGCATGTATATAGATACTGTTCTATATCTAAAAAAATGTTGGGCCATAATCTATTACTCCGTATCAATGTAGATTCTGGAGTCAAACTCTAGGTTTCTGTTCATATTTTCTTCGTGTTTTTGTCATGTTGTCGAGATATATATTTTCGGAGAGTGAACCAAACAAATTAAAGCGCCATCTCTGTCACAGACATAGTATTGCATAGCGGGGTGGATTCGTAGCAAAGTCCTAGGCCGGCGGAATAAAATGTCTATCGGCAGAGGGCGGGCGGGCTTACGGCGGGCGGGGCCGGGCTGCGCGCGCACCGTTACATAACTCGAGTGGAGGCTGGAACAGCGCGCGCTGCGGCAGGTGCGGGGCGCGGGGCGATCGATGCGCGCCCGGGGGGAGTCAGTCGAGCGGCGAGCGAGCGACATGGCAGCGCGCCCACCCCGCGCGGCGGCCCCGCGGCCCGGGCCGCGCGAGTAGGTCGCCATGCGCGATGCGGTATGAGGCAGCGCCGCGCCCGGCGGGCCGGCCCCCGCTAGCGGCGCCGCCCCCGCCATGCGAGCGCCGCCGCTGCTGCTGCTGCTGCTGATGGCGGCCGCGGGCCTGGCCGTGAGTCCGCTTGCGCGCCTCAACCCCTGGCTGAGCGCGTGCGACCTGGAGGAGGAGGGCGCGAGTGGCGCGCTCGAGTGCGGGGTCGCAGCGGGGGCGTGCGGCGGCGGCGGCGGCGCGCCGGACGTGCTGGCGGAGCGCGACGTGCCGCACCTGTGCGCGCTGGGGGCCGGGGCCCGCGCGCGCCGCCTGGCCGAGCTGCGGCTGCGCGTCTGCTGCGAGCGCTCGCCCGCTTCCGCGCTGGACCGCAGCGCGCGCGCCGACGTGCTGGCCGGCGGGCCGCGCTGCGAGACCACGCTGCGCGACCTCCTCGACCTGGACGCGTTGGTCGCGCGCGTGCACTGCGACTTCGTCAACATCCTCGACCGCTACGACTGCGACCAGCCCTATTCCGTACACACGTGTCACGAGTGCCAGGTGAGTCATCACGACACACCGTAACGCGCCAGACACTGTGCCTCCCCGCACTCACTGGCATAGATAATTTCACGTGCCATTGAATTTAGTGCTCTATTCCTAGTTTACGGCTGCGGTTATCGACGTAGGTTGTTGAAATGAAGACGCCGCCGCATAGTTCCGGAAAGTAGACGTTATGAATAGGTAGTGTTTGTTAAAAGTTGTAAATTACGAAGTGTCTCGTCAAAGTATCAAAGACGTTTGTTTAAACTAAATTCACACATATTGTAAGTACGAGAATACTTAATAAATGATACAGTTCGGTTCAGAATCCTTACAAAAGCAAGAACCTATTGGTTACGTATCAGAGGGGACCACGAGCACTCCGCGTGACCCGTATCTGGTTAGGCGATTATATGAGTGTATCGATCCATTCGGGCCAGTCACGTTTCTTAACCTAACAGTTGTTCGGGAAGTTGACAAAAGCGCTCGAGATGTAGGTATTCACTGTTCTTTATTGCCTGTATCATGGTTGGAAACAATAAACGCTAAGTGCATTCTGGTTGTTTAGTATTATTGCTTAGTACGAGCTAACAACTTTTACCGTAGTGTTCGTCCATAAAATTTTTTTACGGGACAAGACTTACAATTATTTTTTTTACACAACATCCATATGAAAAAATAACCTATTGGCGAAATAACTTTTGATTTTCTGCACGTAAGGTTTATATTTGACTACACTGAAATAATAATTAACATGGTTGATTTCTCATAAGTTTTACATTGATCGATACATTAGTACGAGTAAACTAATTTCCTTTTGTTTTCTGCACGTTGTTCTAGACAGTATCACGTACTCTGAAGGGCGATAAGTTATTTATCTGTTATACCTATGTAATAATTATGTACCTTACACTTAGGGAACTGAATTAAACTACCATTATACTGAAAAATAATATTCGCCAATTTAATAATACCATTAATGACACTTTTTAAATCGTCATATAAACATTTTTATCACTTTCGTCTGTATTCGTCGGGATGAAATGTTATGTACAAACTTATCCCTATCATTTCAAATATCCTAACATCGTACTAGAGATCTTTTGAAATCGTGATTTCAGCCTTCCTATAGCCATTATAGTTCTGCTTGCCATTAGGCAGGCGCGCCGTTTCAATGCTCCGTTTTATGAAAATAAAAAAAACATTTAATTTTCCGTTTCCGCTCTTGTTAGGGACACATTCAGTCATTCTTATGTAATAAAGCGGTCGTATATGCGCCTGGTCCTCTCACCTATATAAGGAAAGGGTTACATAGATTACTTACATCGTAATTCTCCTAATCCAAGAACAATTTTCGGAGAAATAAAATCATAAATAAATAATCTGTATTAAAAGTTTGTTGAAACCGCATTGCATTTGGTTACTACAGTTATCGATGTGTTTTGGTAGTAGGTATCTAATTTAAAAATGCCATAATATTTCTTAAGTGCAATTAAGTACAGCATATGCATTATTTTCGTTTTTAGATAAAATTTATTTCGAATGCTGGGCAGCAATTTTCTATAGATTATGTTCGTAGTCAAATAATAAATGCATTATCTTTATCTTTCTTTCATTCTTTTGTTATTCCTTTCCTTTTTAGTTGTATATTCTAATAGTTCACACTCCAACTTGGTTTAAAGCTTGTGTATATACTTACGCTATATACATAATTTATTTAATAAGCAAAGCGAATGGAGGCATTAATTACTGTAATGCATTACCTACGTCGTCAATAGTATCTCTATACCTAACTTTGAATCGGACAAAACGAATTTATTTTTTTCTACGACTTCATAATTATATTTCGATTCTTACATTTTTTAAACATCCCTTACAAACTTGTATCAATTGATACAAGTATGTAAAGTTCATTTTCCATTGGTGGAAACCCACATTCTAATGACCAGCTGATATATGTTCGAATGCATAGACGTTTTTCCTAAATGAGTAGAACTGTCTTTCAAATATTGCTGCAAAGTAATTGTAGATTGTGGTTCAATTTAACAATACAAATGCCGTGTCCAGAGGTTTCGTGCTAAATAAAAAAAATAACCCCTTATACTGCCTTAACCCATGAAGCCGGATGGTAACGTGTCTTGACTGTTTAGCTTGGTTTTAAACACTTCCTTTCCTCGGCCGTCACCTGCAGCTTATAGCTGAAAGCTTTCATCCGTTTGCCACTCCGTTAACTTGAAGCTTAACAAATACTTGAAAGCTTCATTTTCACTTTCTAACGCGTGGGTTTTCGTTAGAGAGCTTTCGAAATTAACAGAACTATCTCTATATATTATTGTGAACCCACGATTTCAGATCTACTGTATATTGTTTATACAGTGTCTCACATTAAATGGGTGAATCCCCCACTCATGGGTAGTTCCCGGAACGTGTATTAGACGAAGTAATCTTGCCTAGTTATAGTAAAGATTGGTATGATGGGCCACTCCTAAAGGTATAAATGCGTCGAAATTCTTGGGTGAAAATTGAACCTTGTGTTGATTATATACAGTTCAAATTTGGAGTATCATGAAACATTGTAAGTTTGGCTAGTTCGTCTCGTGGCTTAGTTAGCATAGCGTTTGGCACGGTTTGCTGGAAGACGTTGGTTGGAATCCAGCCGGATCGAAGGAATTTTTTGCTGGAGCTGATGATCTTTAAATAGCTAAACAGATGTTCATCAAACATAGTTATAAAAATCATCATGCTTAAATTAGCCTTAAAATGAAAAGAAACCGTTTTAAGTCCAGCCGTTTGGGACCTACAATGCTGTCTGTGGCACATTCATACACAGAGATATAGATTTCAAAATTATAAATCCTCTTTTTATGCATCGGGTGTTCAAAAAGATAAGTAGGAGACAAACGAGCAGATCTGATGGGACGAAGTCATCGTCGCCTATGAATACCTGCAACATCAGATGAGCTGCCTATGAATTGCCAGCCTTTGAGAGCTCTGTTGACACGCTTTTTGAAGAATTCCATGACATGGCGCAAAGGAAATACTCATCTTACAGGTTCGAGAAAGGAACCAACGCGATGCCAGCGTGGTTAATACCACGCTGGCATCGCATCGTAATCAATATTCTTGCTGAAAAAAATCTAAAAGCATATTATTATTGATTCCAGTGTTAGATATATGCCTCTTGGTATAATTTCCACTGTCCTCGGTTTGCAGCGACTCTGTTCCAGGTCGGCCCTGCTATCGTTTTAATTCCGTCCGACCACATAGCTGGTGGTCTGTCCACATTTCGTCTTCCTAAACGGGGTGTCCAAAACACTTTTTTTTCTTCACTTTACTTTCTCGGTCAGCCTGTTTCCCACGAATATGTCCTCTGATGCACCGACATCAGGACAATGGATGGGCCATTTCGTTTTATCAGAGTTCAGCTTGAAGCCAGTATCTGAATATGCTCGGATGTCTTACAATGCTAGACATCAATGTGGGGATGGACTTTACTTCTTTGGTGGGTGGTGCGATGGTGGTAACGTGACGGTGGCACCAGTTACAAAAGTGCCTATAAGCACTCCTCATTATAAAGACGGTAGAACACAACGAATTTCCAACAGGGCTGGACAAGAGTTTAGATCCAGAACTGAAACAGCCTTGTAAATTATCCCCGCACATATTTACTAACAAGCACTCAATTAATAACATATTAATACTGGTTAGGTTAGTACTCGTAGTTATTAGTAACCTAATTCGAATTTAACTATAGTCATAAATTTAAGACTAATAAGGATACATAACGCAAACCGGGAACAATAACATACCATGAATTAAAAGTTTTTTAGATTTTCGATAAGGGTATTATATTTACAAATACCGTGGACAAATTATGGAAAGAAAAATATAATATATGAAGGAGCTCAAATGTACGACAAATTACTGAAAGACATTAACGAACTACATTCATCATCTACATTATTGCAGTGTCACCATGGCAATTGATATGCAATTCTTAATTATGGCATTTATTTCCTTTTTTCCCTTTATTTGTATACCTTCATTTGAATATATTTTATATGTACTCTATATGTACTTTATATGTACTCTCTATAGAAATTTTATGATACCTTTTATTTCTCGCTGAGTGAATTTGTATTCTTTTGAGAAATAAATGTCTTAAACCATATTTCCCCAGTTGAAATCTGTTAATATCACTTTTGACGATCAATCGGTGGGGTATTCGAAACCATTTCAGCTTGCCATAATTAATTTATATAGTGTTGAACCCGGTGCGTGACATTACGAAAGTTTTTTTTTATGAGATCAAGTGACGGGACGAACAAATCGAGCACCTCGTGGTAATATAAGTGACATGCCTGTCCATAACGGTTGCAGTACAACTCAGTGTTTCAAATCACGAAAATCTGAGAGACAATGCCACTGCGGTAGTCATTCTAAGACATAAGTTGACACCAGTACCCTTAACCCTTCATCGCAGTAATGCTCACATTACCGCTTGGCGGCAGAAATAGGTAAGGTGGCAGTACTTCCCTGGACGAACTCTTTCACAAGGAGCTCTACTGCTACTATAGTTTATGGAATTTATGGACTATACATCTATTTGCCACGTTTTATTGAATTTGGTCATCGGAAAATGGGTGAAATTCAATAATCAGGATTCATCCGTAATTTGCCACCCTTAGAGGTGGAATATTATCTTCGATGAATGGGAGCCACTACTTCGCTTTACAACGAAAAAAGAATCATTGAAATCGCGTTACATAGACAAATAAAAAACAGTCGAATTGAAAACCTCCTTTTTTGAAGTCTATTAAAAACAGAAACACAACAGAGCTATATCACCTATGTTACAACAGCACAGTGAACAACCGCAATAAAACAAAAAGTATGTAATCTATTTGTTACTTGTTTCAAAAACATTATCAGCGTACGGTAGGATTAATTCGTCGGCAGTTTCCGAACGAGCTACCATTTTACGAGTATTTTTTTGTTGAAAGTTGCAGTGATATCTTATTTCATTATGCAATTGTCGTACACATATTGTAAAGGTGTCAGATTCTCTTTTACATCCACTAACTCTTGATGAAAGAGTGCTGAGCGCAGAAAAACTATGTTCTGTGTTAAAAGCGCGATGATGTATACTTAGGGTCGTATTCTAGAACTCTACTCAATGCTCAAGTCAGGATTGCACTGGAAACACAAGCACTGGAAATACGACTCTAATGGCAGGGACTTGAGTATGATTTCGAGTGCTTTAAACCATACTCA